AAACTATAGACCACACTATGAAGGAGTTTCCCTGGAGTTGGCTGACTTGGCAGCCCTGCAACCCCTTCTTTCCTACTCACAGGAGGCATTGCTAATCAACCACAGACCATACCCATCCAGCACCTGGCTCTTAGAACCCTCCCTCATATGAGACTCCAGATAACCTCAGGGCTGACGTGTGAGGTGCCCAATATCTGCCTCACAATTCAGATAATCACAGTGGTGTGATCACTTACCTAGAACCAGACATCCTGGAATGCGAAGTCAAGTGGGCCTTAGGAATCGTCACTATGAACAAAGCTAGTGGAGGTGATGGAATTCCAGTTGAGCTATTTCAAATCCTAAAAGATGATACTGTGAAAGTGCTGCACTCAATATGCCAGCAAACCTAGAAAACTCAGCAGTGGCCACAGGACTGGAAAACGTCAGTTTTCATTCCAATCCCAAAGAAAGGCAATGCTAAAGAATGTTCAAACTACCAAACAATTACACTCATCTCACACGCTAGCAAAGTAATGCTCAAAATTCTCCAAACCAGGCTTCAACAGTACATCAACCATGAACTTCCAGATGTTCAAGCTGGTTTTTAAAAAGGCAGAGGAATCAAAGATCAAATGGCCAACATCCACTGNGGTCAAAGCTATGGTTTTGCCAGTAGTCATGTATAGATGCGAGAGCTGGACCATAAAGAAGGCTGAGTGCCGAAGAATTGATGCTTTTGAACTGTGATGGAGAAGACTCTTGAGAGCCCCTTGGACTGCAAGGAGATCCAACCCGTCCATCCTAAAGGAAATCAGTCCTGAATATTCATTGGAAGCACTGATGCTGAAGCTGAAACTCCAATACTTTGGCCACCTGATGCGAAGGGCTGACTCATTTGAAAAGACCCTGATGCTGGTAAAGATTGAAGGCAGGAGGAGAAGGGATGACAGAGGATAAGATGGTTGGATGGCATCACTGATTCAATGGACATGAGTTTGAGTAAACGCCGGGAGTTGGTGATGGACAGGGAAGCCTGGCGTGCTGCAGTCCATGGGGTCGCAAAGAGTTGGACACAACTGAGCAGCTAAACTGAACTGAACTGAATTCCAAAAGTCCCCCCACCTGCCTTGGGCTACATAAGCCTGCACAGCATGGCCTTTCCCGCCTCACTCTCTTAGTGCCCTTCCTGGTGGCTCTGCTAATATCAAATAAACCCAGTAGGCCCCCATCTCAGTGCTTTTCTCTTGTTGCCTCATCTAGAATTTGAATGATCTGAGAGTGAATCTAATCATGCATTGGTCACCTGAGAGCCAGAAGTGGAGTGTTATGATTTGCCTAGTTCAGCTAGTCAGCAGGAGGAAGCCATGGGCAATCATCAGCCATTCATGAAACAGCTGCATGAGGAATAGATGAACTGGTCAGGTCCTTCTCTTGCCCTCTACTCTACTTAGGCAAAACATGTGTCTGTCAGCCTTCACTCAAGAATAACCTCTGAGCTCTACCTTCTAAAGAAAGTGGGTCATCTTACCATGAAGAGATCCTATCATGGATCTACAGGGAAATTGTCAGGGCAGTATTTTTCAAATTTCATCAATGGTCCCAATGATGTGGAAGGTTTAATTAAAGCAGATTGTGGACCCCACCCATCATTTCTGGTTCAGTATATCATGTTCCCAAGATTGAGTATTTCTAACAAATTTCCAAGTGATACTGTGGCAGGCAGCTTATCTAGGGAACACCACTACAGTAGAAAAATCTACAATTCTTACACTTCTGAATGGGAAAGGTCAGTTTCTGCCTCCTATGAGTCTTCTCCTGTGTGTCTCCTTTGCTGCTCATAAAAAATGCTTTATATTTGACACTTCTGGAGAACCTTATTTCTGGCCTTTCCCTTCTCAAGAAAAGGGGTTTAAACTAAAAATTCAGTGTGTTAATCCTGCACTGATCTTTTTGATGAACAGCCTCATCATTAGTCCATCCAGGAGCTCTCCCAGAGTTACCACATTAGAACAAAGGACACTTCGAACACCCAGGAAATCATAAGAATTTCAGGAACTCTGTATCAAAATCCAGTTCAAAGACCAAATATTAGAACAAAAGATACTCCTCGTGCTCTTATCACTTAAGAAATTATGATAGTGCTTCCTAGGACTCTCTAGGCTTCTACCATTTCTCTGTGGTTCTTGTTTTTCCACTCATGCTATTCCTGCCTCTTCCCCTCTGCCTCCTGTATTTAACAAGCTCTCCTGAGGCCTAGGCCTCTCCCTAGGCCTCCAAGTGTTGGGGGAAAACAGTGTCAGCCACATTGGCAAGATCAAAGCCATGTTCATTTCCAGTGCAAAGATCATGAAGACCAATGGTGAGAAGCTGGACAAGTTCCAGTCTGAAATCTTCTACACCCTCCTGGAGTTGGAGATGAACTAGACCTGAAAACCCAGCTGTGGGAGTTGAACATCACAGCTGCCAAGGCCACTGAAGTTAGTGTTGGTCAAAAAGCTCTTTTAATCTTTGTTCTTATTCCTCAAGTGAAATACTTCCAAAAATTCCAGGTCTGGCTATTGCGTGACTTGAAGAAGTTCAGCAGGAAACACATCATCTGTTGCTCAGAGAAGAATTCTGCCTAAGCCAACTCGAAAAAGCCATACAAAAAAATAAGCAAAAGCAACCCAGGAGCTTCAGTCTGACAACCGTCATGATGTGATCCTGGAAGATTTGGTTTGCCCAAGTGAGATTACAGGCAAGAGAATCTGCAAGAAACTGAATGGAAGCTGGCTCAAAAGGTTCATTTGGATAAAACACAGCAGAACAATGTGAAACACAAAGTTGAAACATTTTCTGGTATCTGTAAGAAACTCATGGGTGAACTCCCCAATGGTTCAGTGGTTAGGAATTTGCCTGCCAATGCACAGGACATGGGTTCGATCCCTGGCCTGGGAAGATTCCACATGCCATGGGGCAACTAAGCCTATGTGCCACAACTACTGAGCCTGAATGCTTTAAAGCCCATGAACCATAACTACTGAAGCTCACACGCTATAGAGCCTGCAAACCACAAATACTGAGTCCACATGTTATAACTACTGAAGCCTGCTCACTCTAGAGTCAGCATGCCATCTCTATTTATTATAATAAATAAATACATTTTTGAGCAGCTGATTTTTAAAATGTTTATTTGTTTATTTATTTTTGGCTGCACTGGGTCTTCATCACTGCTTGCAGGCTTTCTCTACTTGTGGCGAGCAAGGGCTAGTCTCTAGTTGTGGTGCACGGGCTTCTTATTGCCATTGCTTCTCTTGTTGTGGAGCACACACTCTAGGGCAAAAGCATGGGCTCTAGGGCACTCAGGCTCAGCAGTTGCAGCTTTCAGGCTTAGAGGGCAGACTCAGTGGTTGTGGCACATGGGCTTTGTTGCCCTGTGGCATGTGGAATCTTCCTGGACCAGGGATCAAATCCATGTCCCCTGCACTGGCAGGTGAATCCTTAACCACTGGACACCAGGGAAATCCCAGCAAAGCAAACCTGAGAAAGAAAAGTGAAGCTGGAGGAATCAGGCTTCCTGACTTCGGACATACTACAAAGTTACAGTAATCAAAACAACATGGTACTGGCACAAAAACAGAAGTATAGATCTATGGAACAAGATAGAAAGTTCGGAGATAAACTATCACTCCTGTGGTCACATAATCTATGACAAAGGAGGCAAGAATATACAATGAAGAAAAAGAGTCCCTTCAATAAATGGTGCTGGGAAAACTGGACAACTGCATGTAAAAGAATGAAACTACAACACTCTCTAACACCATGCACAAAAATAAACTCAAAATAGGTTAAAGACCTAAATGTAAGGCTGGACACTATAAAGTTCTTAGAGGAAAACATAGAACGCTCCTGGACATGATTTGCAGCAAGATTTTTTTTAATTCATTTCCTATAGTGATGAAAATTTAAAAAATGAGGTCTAATTAAACTTAAAATCTTTTGTACAACAAAGGAAACCATAAACAAAACAAAAAGACAACCTTTAGAATATTAAGAAAATATTTGCAAGCAAAGCAACTGACAAGGGATTCCTTTCCAAAATATACAAACAGCTCATGAAGCTTAATATCAAAAAACAAACAGCCCAATCAAAAACTGAGCAGAAAATTTACAAAAGACATTTTGCCAAAGACGACATACAGATGGCCAAAAAGCACATGAAAAAATGCTCAGTATTACTAATTGTTAAAGAAATGCAAATCAAAACTACAATGAGGTATCACTTCATACCTTCAGAATGGCCTTCATCAAAAAATCTACAAACAATAAATGCCGGCAAGGGTGTGAAGAAAAGGGAACCCTCTTGCACTGTTGTTGGGAATGTAATTTGATACAGCCACTGTGGAGAACAGTATGAAGGTTCCTTAAAAAACTGAAAATAGAACTACCATATGACCCAGCAATCCCACTCCTAGGCATGTACTCGGAGAAAACTTTAATTCAAAAAGAGACACACACCCCAATATTCCCTGAAGCACTGTTTACAGTAGCCAGGAGATGGAGCAACCTAAGTGTCCATCAAAAGAGGAATGGGTAAAAAGAAGGTATCATACATTTATACAATGGACTATTACTCAGCCAGAAAAAAGAACAAAATAACGCCATTTGTGGCAACATGGATAGACCTGGAGATTGTCATATTAAGTGAAGTAAGTCTGACACAGAAAGACAAATATCATATGATATCTCTTACATGTGAAATCTTTTTTTTTAAAAAAGGTACAAATTAACTTATTTACAAAATAGAAGCAGAGTCATGGATGTAGAAAACAAACATAGTTAGGAGGCAGTGAGGGGAGGATCAAGTGAGGGTTTATATGTATACCTATATACTCTGTGTGTGCGCTCAGCCCCTTCAGTCCTGTCTGACTGTAGCCCACCAGGCTTCTCTGTCCATGGGACTTTGCAGGCAAGCATACTAGAGTGGGTTGCTGTGCCCTCCTCCAGGGGATCTTCCCAACCCAGGGGTCGAACCCGCCTCTCTTAAATCTCCTGGCAGATTCTTCACCACCGAGTCACCAGGGAAGCTCCAATTTGAAAGATGTCACCTTCAAAATCTACCTTGCACCACTCATTTTTGTTTTCTATTTAATTAATTTTAAATTGTTGTTTTTATTCTATTGCTTTCTAGATCTATCTGGTCTCTCTTTCTAGTTTCCTATGGTGCACTGAGGTACTAAAACCTGAATCCAGAGAAGACAGGAAGTGCTAAGTCTGAGGAGACACAAGAGTGCTGAATGGAGCTGTACTGCCATGGTCCCTCTTGCCCTCTTGTGTGACTAGTTTAAGAGAGGATGTGGATGGGCCTCACAGGAGGGATGGTACACAAATGCTCTCTTTCCACTCTGAGCTCTGATACGTTTCTGACAGAAGGGAAGTGGACAGGTAATACAAGTTCCCATGGATCTTGTTTCTGAGGAAGACTCAACCTATGTGCAGATATCCCAATCCTCATGTCATAAAGCAATTGTTAACTCAGGGCTTTCCCCTCATATGACTCATGCCAGACCTTAGGAAGTAGAGAAACGGAGGAACCATCAAGAGACAAGCCATGGGGGTTCGATTTTGTGTAAGAGGCGCATTCAGATCCTCTAAGCAGGCTTGAGGGTGGGTGGGACTCACCCAAGACTTTATGGGTTTGGGAAAAAGGGGGGATGCTGAGGCAGTAGGTAGCTTTTGTGCAGAGCCATAGAGAGAAACAGTAGTTTTCACCCTCCCATTCATTTCCCATTTATTTCTGATGACAGAAAGATGGCCATTTCATTCAAATTGTCATTGAGGATTCCGAAGAAATAACTATGATTAAGATGATAGAGCGGAAGAAGAAAAGAGAGGTAGGTAAAATCTCTGTATAATATATAGATATCCAGGACATTTATGTCAGTGTCATGAGGATGTGGAATTGTGCCTCTTAGGCCACAATTATCTTAGAGTTTAAGATAGTCAGGAGTCAACTCAACATTGGCTCATTTTCCCTCCACTCCCTTCTCAGCATAAACTCTCTGGGTCTGGGTTTGACTGTGACATGACGAGTGAATGGAGAAAAGGAAAGCCATCAAGAAACACATGAGCTGGGAGATGAGAATGTGAAGACCCTGGATTAGAAAGAATGTTCTCAATATGTAGAAGCTGGGAGTAGAATATATGATGAGGGTGTTAAAAACCAATCACCATATTGAAATACACTTTTGTGGCAGAAAGCAATCAATCAATAGGACTAGAATTAGCAGAGAATACCAGGCAAAAGCATTATAAAACCAAACCTCCAAAACCCAATAAGCACTGATGTGTTAGAATATGACTAACAAAGGCCCTCATACCCCTAATGCTTGCTTCTAGTTACTAACGGTTTTCCCCTTGATTCATGCACCTGAGAGGTAGTCAGGAGGAGGATGCTGTGACTCTGAGGGTAAGGTGATGTGTCCTTATTGGCAGAGAAGAACTCAGCACCTAGGGCCTCTTGATCAGTGTCCTGCTATCTCCCCTGAACTCTCCAAAGTAGGGATATTAAGAGAACCAGGCCCTTTCCAGAAATACCCTACAAGTTGGTGGCAGGCAGTTCTCTGAGTGGTCTCTCTTATCTCTGCCTAGAAAACTAAAAAAGACAGAGTAGGAGCAGCCAAGAAGATCCAGGCCTGGTGGCGTGGCACCCTGGTGCGCCGGACATTGTTGCATGTAGCCCTGAAGACTTGGATGATTCAGTGCTGGTGGAGACTGACAATGGACAGGCTGCTGCAGAAGAAGCGGAGGGCAGCCCTGATTGCCTATGCATACAGAGAGAGGGCAGTGGTCAAGCTCCAGTCTTTTGTCCGTATGTGGCGCATCCACTGGAGATACTGCCAGGTGCTCAATGCCATCTATGTCATCCAGTACCACTGGCAATGCCACAACTGCCAGACCTGTGCCCTCCTCCGGGGCCACTGTGTGGTCACAGCCACTCACCTGCAGTTTCACATTGAGATCATTAACCCCTAAGAAATGGCTAGAAGGGGCACTGTGTCTCCTGTCCCATAGTAAAGGTCTAACCTGACATAAAGTATGTCTCATGGTTTCCCTTCTGCTAATGGAAATGTTAGGACTTAAGTCATGCTGCCTTCTCTTCTCCCTGGGAAAGAACTTCAGTGAGGGTCTCCCTTTGTGCCCACAAACCCTGTTCTGGACTGACAGTTCTATATGCTATGTACTTAGTTGTCAAAACAGAAACTGAGGTCCTAGTCTACCTATATATATAACAGAGTTAGAAGTCCCAGCTCCCATTCCCAACCCCATTCCTTTCTTCTCACTGGGAATCTGAGAGTCAGGTAAGCTGCATCTTCCTGAAGACTCTGGGTACCTTTGCACATGGAAACAGACACTGAGGCTTTTCTCTGTCCTCCTGGGGTTAGTGGGGGGTCTCAGATGCCTTAGACAAGGTGTCTTTGCCAATCACCTTGTGAAAAGGCCAACATGTGGCTGAATCTTCTGGGAGGAGTGTAGGGCAACCCCAGGTGAAGGACAGGCCAGCCTTAGTGTAGATGAGACTGGGCATGCTGATGAGCAGCTGATGACCCTGGGGACTGGTAGAAAACAGTTCATGACACTTCAACTCCGTCTTCACAATTCCCTTACCAGAACCCCTCTCCCTGAGGGCTGTACAGCAAACAGGGCTCCCAGTGATTTTACCCCCATCCCTACTCTTGTCTCCATTCTCACTCCCTTGGTCGTACTAATCCAGTGCTACTCAATAGAAATTTCTGTGATGGATGGAAATGTTCTGTATCAGTGCTGTTCAGTGTGGGAGCCACGAGCCACACATGGTTGTGAAGGACTTGAAATGTGCCTGGTGCGATTAAAGAATTGAGTTTTAAATTTTTTTAAATTAATTTAAGCTTAAATAACCACATATGGTAGTGGCTATTCCATTGAATAGTGTGGCTCTAGACCTTACCATTACCAATAATTGTACTGCTGCCCAAATTGCTTTTTCATTCCATTCTTTTTTATTTTATTCTCTTCTTCCAGTTCACCTTTCAAATATCACTAATCGAATGTTTCTTCAGATGTGATAAGATCTTCCAAGCCATTTACTCTGCCATTTTTTTTTATAGCCATCGCCCCTGACAAGCCCTTGTATCTGTCTTTATCCAGTTCAGATTCTATATTTAATTATTGTAATCTCTCCCCTGAACACCTTGACTTCCTTTGACTCTATCTCTGCAAAGCTGTGTGGAATGAACTTAATCCCCTACCTGCTTTGTGCCTGCAGAGGAGGAGCACGACACTCAGCTCACATTATGACGTGTGGTCCCAGTCCACATTCGTGACTGCAGACCTCCGCTGGCCCGAGTTCCCAGTGAATTTCTCTGGTGTGTTTGCATCTCTTTTTTTCTGAATTGAATAATTCATAGTACCTCCTCTCCAAATGCCCGATTCTACTTCTCCCCTTGAACTCCAAAATGATGGTATATGTTACCACATACCTAACTGATGAAATGGGAACAGACTGGACCCCCATCTTCCTACCACCTTATTCTCCATCCCAGCTCTGGATCACACCTGCTGCCTTCCCTCCAGTTGAAATAAGTGAAGGGTCTTTGATTCCATCAAAAGCTAACCCCTCCACTACCCTGCTGCCATCTCGAGGCCTTCGATCCTGCATTCATAACCCTATTGTCCAAAGTATCAATGTCTACCTCTTCCATCTTTTGAAAATGCCGTCTTAATTTCTTTCCAGTTCTGTTTCTCCTAATAGCAAAACATGCCATCACTCTTTCCATTTCTGTTCACACTATTTTCTCTTCAACCCATTCCAGTCAGGCTTACGCCCCGCTCACTTCATTGAGACCGCACTGATCAACATCACCGACATTCCAGCTGACCAAATCCAATGGTCATTTCTCTGTCCTTATGCATTCTTTCTACATCGGGCTACAGAGTTAGCTACTCCATTCTTGTTAAAATAATTTTTAAAGGCAAACAATAAAAATCATACCACTCAACCCATAAGTACTTTAATATATGTCTTTAATAGGAGACCTTTGTAAAAAATATAACATCAGTATTATCATATCTTTCAACAGTCACAATAATTCCTTGATAGAATATATATGTACCCAATAACTGAGCTTCTAGATACATAAAGTAGGATTCTTCTGTACCCCTTTGTGCTTGCCTACTACCCTCCACCAGACTCTAGTAACCACTGATCTGTACTCTGTACCTATTGTTTTCCCTTTTCCAGGACATCATAAAAGGAATATTTTGTAGCCTTTTGAGTCTGGCTTCCTTTCATTTGGGCTTCCCTGGTGGCTCAGAGGTTAAAGCGCCTGCCTGCAATGAGGGAGACCTGGGTTCGATCCCTGGGTCCGGAAGATTCCCTGGAGAAGGAAATGGCAACCCACTCCGGTATTCTTGCCTGGAGAATCCCATGGACAGAGGAACCTGGTGGGCTACAGTCCATGGGGTCGCAAAGAGTCGGACACGACTGAGCGACTTCTCTTCACTTCCTTTCATTTAGTATAATGTGTCTGAGACTTCTCTCTGGTATTGTGTGTACTCATTTGTTTTAATTTCTAAGTGGCATTCCATTTTAAGAATGTTATCAGAAGTTTTTACCAGTTGAAGGGTTTGGAGTTTTTTCCAGTTTGAGTGGTTACAAATTAATCTGCTATACATATTTGGTTTTATGTGTGTGTAAACTTAAGTTTTGCACTCTATTTGGCTAAAAACCTAGGAGTGAGAGCTTCCATTTCTACAAGATGGTGTAACTCATTTTTTCCCTTTTCCTCTCCTCTGAATACAAACTAAATACTTTGGAAATAATTCAACAGACAGTCATAAAAGGACTCTGAAATGTGGAGAGATGGCAGGTTATCTAGAAATCTCAAGATTTTTGAAAGTGCACCTTGATGAATTCCCTGGGTTTTGTTTTTTCTGCCATGCATCTCAGACTGGACATCAGATATGTCTGCAACCTAGTATCAACAACAGGCATAGGGAAAGCAAAACAAAACAAAGTGAAAAGCATGCTCCCTCTGGTCAAAATAAGAGATGCCCAGCAGAGACTCAGCAGGGAGATCCGTATCTAGTGGCAACAGCAGATTGAATTGCTTACAGAAGTGACTCCAGTACCCATATAAACCAACCCATCCCATGCCCTACACTCACTGGTAGCAGTAGGCATAATCTGCTCACAGCAACAGTGGAACACAGGCTTATCCACCCCCACCACACCCCATATCTGCTAGCAGTAATGATGCAGTCTGCCCTCAGCAGCCGTAACAGCACAACCCACTGCATTTCTCATCTGCTAACAGAAGCAGGCTTGATCTGCCCACAACAGTAGCAGCAGAACCTGAGTAGGCCAACGCATCTCCCACCACAAACTAGATGGGAAGGGGGAGTGGGGTCCTCCTGTACCCCCGCTCCAAAAGGCCTAGATTCTCCTCACTTTCCACTCAGTGGCAGACCCAGCAGCCCCAGACCCAGCAGCCCCTGGCTGTCTGTCCAGCCACAGAAGATCCAGAACAGGAGCCTTCTGGCCCTCTACGCAACAGCAAAGTGCAGTCCAATAGGCCCTTCTCTCATCCAGTAGCCCCAACAGAGACAGAGTAGGAAACCCGTTTGGCGTCAGCTGGTCAGAGAACAGGCCAGGGTTATTGCTCTCTACTTCAGAAGTCTGACATCCTAAACCCTCCATCTGGTGACAAGAAGGAACCTAGGAAAATGCCTTCCACCTTGCAGGTGGCATCAGAAGGGATCCAGTGGAACCAAAAGAATAAAGCAGATCAGAACTGCATTGAAGGAACCCAGAAAAGAAAGTTCTCATTGGAAATAGGGTCCACAAAAGTAGGCCAGCATCTACATGCTAAACCTAAACAGAATGCTGCCTTCTAGAACAGAAGATTTTAGTAGTATCAAGAGCCTCCTAATATAATATCCAAAATGCCCATCATACAGTAGAAGATCACTCACCATACCAAGAAACAGTAAAAGTATGATGTTAGATATAGATTTCCTTTTTATCAAGTTAAGGTAGTTCCCTGTATTCCTAACTCACTAAGAATTTCCTTTTTATCATGAATAGGTGTTGGATTTTGTAAAATGGTTTTTCTGACAATATTAAATAGTCATATGATTTCTCTTCTTTGGCCTGTTGATATGGTGGATCAATTAATTTTTGAATGTTTAAAGTGGCCTTGGGACTTCCCTGGCGGTCCAGTGGTTAAGAATCTGCCTTCCAGTGCAGGGGACACGGATTTGATCCCTGGTCAGGGAATTAAGATCCTACATGCTAGGGGACATCTAAGCCTGCCACACCGCAGCCGCTAAGCCTGTATCACAACTACGGAGCCCGTGCACTCTGGAGCCCGCACTGCAACTATAGAGGAAAGCCAACATGCCACAACTAGAGAGAAGCCCTTGTGCCACAATAAAGAACCCACGTGCTGCACTGAAAGATCCCACATGCCACAGCTAGGACCCAGTGCAGCCTAATTAATCAACTAATTATTTAAAAAACCTCCTTCACTCTCTAAAAATAATAAATAAAAGCGAAGAAACTTTGCCTACCTGATATAAATTTCTACTTGGTCCTGGTGCATAATTTCTTTCGTACATTTTTGGGTTTGATCCGCTAACATTTTGTTGTGGATTTTTACTTCTATGTGCCACTAGCAATGTACAAGGATTCCTTCATCTCCACATCCTCATCAACACTTACCATTTATGTTTTTGATAATAGCCATTCTAACAAGTATGAGGTTATATTTCACATGGTTTTGATTTGCATTTCCATTATTAGTGGTGTTGAGTACTTTTCCATCTGTTAGCCATTTGTATGTCTTCTTTGGAAAGATATCTAATCAGGTCACTGGCCATTTTTAAATCAGGTTTACTTTTGTTGTTTGTTTTTGCTTTTCTTCACTATTGGATTATTTGAGTTCCTTGTATATTTTAGCTATTAACCCCTTATCAGACACAAGTTTTACAAATATTTTCTCTTGTTCTGTAAGGTGCTTTTTCATATTACTGATTGTTTCCTTTGCTGTGCAGAAG